TTTGTAGATATCTGCAAGGGACTGAAGGAACAGTAATGTTGAGCTAGGCTGAGCGAGGCATGTGGAGGGCACTCTGGGCAGAGAAAACTGCCTGTGCAAAGGTGTGGAAGTGGCACCCAGCACTGTGGCAATCGAAGAGGTGGAGGAAGCACATTAAATTTTGTATTTGCTGGCCGGGCTGAGTGGCTCAAGCCTATAATCCTGGCATTTTTGGAGGCCATGGCGGGAGGATCACTTGAGGTCAGGAGTTCGAGACCAGCCTGGCCAACGTGGTGAAACCTCGTCTCTACTAAAAACACAAAAATTAACCAGGTATGGTGGTGCATGCCTATAATCCCAGCTACTTGGGAGGCTGAGGCATAAGAATCACTTGAACTCGAGAGGTGGAGGTTGCAGTGAGCCAAGATCATGCCACTGCACTCCAGCCTGGGTGACGAGGCTCAGTCTCAAAAAAAAAAAAAAAAAGATGTATTTGCATGAAGTACCTCTTTAAAATCTCCCAGCAAGAGTATGAGGTACATGCTGTTAGAATGTCCATTTTCCATATCCATGGAGTGGAGCTCAGAGAAGGAAATAGCCATGCCCATCATCTCAAAGAAAGCCAGAAACAGCAAAGCCAGCTTCAAATCCAGGTTTGGCAAGTCCCCAAAGCTGGGCCTCCTTTTCTCTCACCCCTATGTTATGGGTTGAACTGTATCCTCTCAAAAAATATGTTGAAATCCTAACCCCTGATATCTGGGAATGCGACCGTATTTGGAAATAGGATCTGTGAAGACGTAATCAAGTTAAGATGATGTCATTAAGATGGACCCTAATCCAATATGACTGGTGTCTTCATAAAAAGAGGAGGTAACAAGTTTGTGGGTGCATCACTCCAATCTCTACCTTCGTTGTCATGTGGCTGTCTTCCCTGTGACTTTGTCTCTGTGTCTCTTCTTTTCTTTTCTTTCCTTTTTTTTTTACTGAGAGAGAGTCTCGCTCGGTCACCCAGGCTGGAGTGCAGTGGCATGATCTTGGCTCACTATAACTTCTGCCTCCCAGATTCAAGCGATTCTCTGCCCCAGCCTCCCAAGTAGCTGGGATTACAGGCACGCACTACCACGCCTAGCTAAGGTTTGTATTTTTAGTAGAGATGGGGTGTCGCCATGTTGACCAGACTGGTCTCAAACTCCTGACCTCGGATGATCCATCCATCTCAGCCTCCCAAAGTGTTGGGATTACAGGCGTGAGCCACTGAGCCCGGACCCTCCAGTGGTTTTAGTCAGCACCCCAGAACAAAATCCATTTCTTTTTCTTTTTCTTTTCCTTTTTTTTTTTTTTGAGACAGAATGTCTCTGTGTCCCCAGGCTGGAGTGCAGTGGCGCAATCTCAGCTTCCCGCAACCTCCGCCTCCCAGGTTCAAGCGATTCTCCTGCCTCAGCCTCCCGAGTAGCTGGGGCTATAGGTGCATGCCACCACACTCGGCTAATTTTTTGTATTTTTAATAGAGACGGGGTTTCACCATGTTGGCCGGGATAATCTCGATCTCCTGACCTCGTGATCCGCCCTCCTCAGACTTCCAAAGTGCTGGGATTACAAGCGTGAGCCACCACACCTGGCCCAAAATCCATTTCTTACTAAGCTCTACCAGGGCCTGTACCATCTGCCCTATCCACTCCCCACCCTCCCCTCCTCCCTCTCCCTGCTGACTCACTCTGCTGCTGCTGTACGGGCCTCTGGCTGTTCCTCTAACATGTCAGGTGCAGTCCTGCCACAGGGCCTTTGCACGGGCTGTACACTCTGTCTGGAATGTCCTTCCTGCACTAACAACTCCTTTCTCCCTTTCCAGTCAGTTTTTTTTTTTTTTTTTTTTTGAGACAGGGTCTCACTCTGTCACTCAGGTTGGAGTGCAGTGGTCCAATCATAGCTCACTGCAGCCTTGGCCTCCTGGGCTCAAGTGATCCTCCCATCTCAGCCTCCTGAGTAGCTGGGACTACAGGTGTGCACCACCATACCCTGCTAATTTTTGTATTTTTTGAGAGATGGAGTTTCACTATGTTGCCCAGGCTGGTCTCGAACTCCTAGACCCAAGCGATTTGCTCACCTCAGCCTCCCAAAGGGCTGGGAGGGCAAGCGTGAGCCACGGTGCCCGGCCCTGAGTCTCAGTTCTCATGTTTCCTCCCTAACCTCCCTGACCACCCCTCAGGCTCTCTCCGTCTCATAACCTGCTTGTGTTTTAGCCCCAGGATTTATCTCCTGCTGACATCTTCCTGCTCATTTATTTAATTATATACTTTGTATCTATCCACCACCTTGGAATAGCAGTCCCGGGAGAGCAGGGATTTTTCTCTTTTGGTCATTGCTGTGACTGTGTGCCTGGAACAGCATCTGGCACAGAGTGGGCGCTCCCGGGAGGTTTCCTGGGCTTGTGTTGGAATCTTGCACGTGACTCTCACAGTCATGCTGTTCCAGGGGACGTCGCAAAGGTGACCTCGACCCTTTTCCTCCCATGGCCTCACCTAGTAGCTATTTCTCACTGGAGCATGGCCAAGAAGCCCCCTCACTGCCCAGAAAAACCCCTTGCCTCCTTGCATTTTTTTTTTTTTTTTTTTTTTTTTTTTTTTTGAGGCAGGGTCTTGCTCTGTCGCCCAAGCTGAAGTGCAGTGGTGTGATCATAGCTCACCTCCCAGGCTCCAGCAATCCTCCCACCTCAGCCTCTCAAGTAGCTGGAACTACAAGCATGCATCATCACACTTGGCTAATGAAATTTTTTTTTTCTTTTTTGAGACAGTCTCACTGTCACTAGGCTGGAGTGCAGTGACACCATCTCGGCTCACTGCAACCTCCGCCTCCCGGGTTCGAGCAATTCTCCTGCCTCAGCCTCCTGAGTAGCATGCAGCTGGGACTACAGGCACGCACCACCACGCCCAGCTCATTTTTATATTTTTAGTAGAGACATGGTTTCACCATGTTGGCCAGGATGGTCTTGATCTCCTGACCGCATGATCCTCCCTCTTTGGCCTCTTAAAGTGCTGGGATTACAGGCGTCAGCCACTACGCCCAGCCTAAAAAATTTTTTCTGTAGAGGTGGGGTCTTGCTATGTTGCCCAGCCTGGTCTCAAACCTGTAACCTTGAGCGAACCTCCCACCTCAGCCTCCCATCCCATCACACCTGGGATTCCATGAGACATCAGAGGAAACGGAGTAAAAGGGGTTGGAGAACTCTGTGGCACCTTTGCAACTTTTCTGGAAATCTAAACTGGTTCCAAAATAAAACGTTTATTTTAAAAGAAAAAGTGTGAATGAAGAATAAGGCCATCCAGGACCAGCAGCCCGTGTGCCCGGGACTGGAACCAAAGCACGGACGCCCCGTCTCAAAGCCACTCCGGCACCACGGTCACAGCTGCCCCGAAAAGGGCCCCCAGCCCTCACCTCCCCTCGTTCGCCCGCAGAAACAGGCACTGGCCTTAGGCTTGATGGGGGATGGGTGAGAATCCGCTTTCAAACCCACTTTATTCTTTTCAGACCAGAAACATTCCTCATCGCCCCCCCTCCCTACCCTAGATCTTTACTGACCAGGGGCCTCAGGAGGGGCTGGGGAGACAGTGGTATCCTCTGCCTCCAGGGACGTGGTGCTGCAGTGGCAGTGGGGGCTGGCGCGGCCCAGCAGCTCCAGCCTCCGGGAGCGTAGCCGGGCTTGAATGGCCCAGATGGGGGGCCGGTGGCCCGGTAGGGAGGGGTCCTCGTCGCTGAAGCTGTCGGTGGTGGAGTCAAAGCTATCTTCCGTGCCGGCCACCGACTGTTTGCACACGGGGCAGGAGCGCCGGGGGGCTTGGGAGAACCAGGGGTCAATGCACTTGCAGTGGTAGGTGTGGGAGCAGGGCAGGATCTTGAGTTGGTCGCCCTCCTCGTACTCGTCCAGGCAGATGGCACACAGGTCGTTGCGTCGCGTGAAGGTGCGGACCTGCGCCTTCTGGCAGGTAGACGTCTTCACCGGCCGTCTGTGGCTGCAGCAGGCCTGGGCCCAGAGCCACAGGCGGTTCAGGACAAAGAGGGTGGATACGACCAGGGCCAGGGTACGGCCCAGCGCCCAGGACACGGTCAGCACGGGGTGACAGTCCAGGTCGCGGCACGGCGGGTCGTCCGGCAGGAGCAGCACGTGGGCCGACTTGTCGCAGCCCAGGATGACCCGAAGGTCCTGCGAGGCGGCCTCGCCCACGAACACCGAGGGGATGGCGATCTGGCCCCTCAGGTCCTCGGAGACGTGGGTCATGCTCACGAGGTCGTCGGAGTGGACGTTGTGCACGATGGCCGCCTCGAAGCCGGCGCGCTGGGCGTTCAGTACCTTGAGGTCGAAGGTGCAGTCGTAGCGGCGAATCAGTGCGATGGCGCCCAGAGAGCGGTTGCCCAGTCGCGGGGCCTCGACGGGATGGCACGCGTTGGCTGGCTTGACCTCCATCAGGTAGCCCCGTATGCCCTCGGGGGCCAGCGGGACGCCGAACAGCGCTGGCAGATCCGCAAAATCCACCGAACTCGAGTTGTCTTCCAGCATGGCCCGGACTACCGCCTGCGCGGGCACCTGGAGCACCGACAAGACCAGCAAGGCTTTGACCGCTACCAGGGCTTGGCCTGGCCGTGGCCACCCCATGGTCACCCGCTTCGCCGGCTGTGTGCTGCTAAGTCCCACTGGAGATGGCAGGCAGGGGGCCTTTGGGCATCTCCGGGGCCTCCCAGAGGGCCTGTGGCCAGGATGCGAGGGCAGTTGAGTTGGAATGACCGCGTGGCTCAGAGGCAGTGACACGGCCACCGCGACCCTGGTGGCTCTAGGCATTAAGGGCTCCGGACGGCAGCGCAGCATGCATCATGTCTTTGAAGGCCGGTCTCAGGAGGTGCTGGCGCAGGTGGCCTTTCTGGCAGATGACACGGAGACCAGGAGTCCCCAGGGTTCTAGATGCCCCCAGCTTCTGTGACATCGCCCTGGTACATTCTGTCCCAGGAGCTGCCAGCTGCCTGGGCCTGTAACCAATGGATCATTCCTAGGTCTGTGATTTGCCGGTGCCCGGGCAATCTTTGAGAAAACTTCTTGAAGGCTCAGGGCATCTTTGGACCCAAAGAGGCCCAGGGATGCCACAAAAGGGCTGCTGGCCCCTAGCGGTGCAGATTCAGCCCTCACCATGCTAAGACTCTACCAGCATCAGCTTCTGGAGGTTCCTAGCAACACACTGTAGAAGGTGCGATGTTACCCTTGTCTAAGACTCCAAGAGGGACCCAGACTTGTTCAAGCCACGCCCCCCTACAATGAGGTCAGTGCTTAAAACCCAAATTCCTGACCCCCTCTCACCATCCCTCACTCTGCTGCGGCCACATGGGTCTCCTTGCTGTTCCTCCAATACACCAGGCAGGATCCTGCCCCAGGGCCTTTGCATGGGCTGGGCCTCCTGCCTAGAAAGCCCTTTCTGTCCGTAGCTGGCTCTTTTGTGCAGACTCAGATCTGAGTTCATATATCCTCAGAGCCCAGCTGGACTTGACTTGGAGGGAGGGTGAAGTGCCGGGATCAGGGTGGGGCTGGTGGGGGTCAGGGGTCCCAAGTCCTCACCGCCAGGTTGGCCTCCAGGCTTGCACCAGCTTCATTCTCTTTCCTATAGCATTGCTTCTCCAGCGAGGTCTCCAACTGTGCCCCCGGCCTGAGCTTCAGTCCTGGGCATTGGCCTCACCTTCTCCCCAGTCCCCATCCCCCAAATTTCATACCCTCAATCTGTCTGCAGCCCACTCAAGTCGGATTTCTGTCTCTGCCATTCATAAGCTGTATGACAGTCGGGCACGGTGGCTCAAGCCTGTAATCCCAGCACTTTGGGAGGCCGAGACGGGCGGATCATGAGGTCAGGAGATCGAGACCATCCTGGCTAACATGGTGAAACCCCATCTCTACTAAAAAATACAAAAAAAAAAAAAGCTAGCCGGGCATGGTGGCGGGCGCCTATATATAGTCCCAGCTACTCGAGAGGCTGAGGCAGGAGAATGGTGTAAACCCAGGAGGCGGAGCTTGCAGTGAGCTGAGATCAGGCCACTGCACTCCAGCCTGGGTGACAGAGCAAGACTCCGTCTCAAATAAAAAAAAAAAAGCTGTATGACATCAGCTAAATTCCTTAGCCTCTCTGGGCCTCAGCTTCCAGACCTGTAACATGGGCATAATAGTCTCTCCCATGCTCTAAACTCTCCCATGGCGCCCCATTGCCCTCCAGGTAAAGGCCACACTCTTCTCTGTGGCCTGCATGCACCCCTGCGGTTGGGCCCCTGCCAATCTCTGAAGCCTGGATGATTTGCAATGCCCCAGAGGCATCTTGCTTTGCTCCCCTCTAGAATTTTGCAAATGCCGTTCCCTTTCCTTCTGCCTGGAACAGAATTCTTGCTCCTCAACTTCACTTTGTCAGGCTGACTACTTAGTCTTTAGGTTTTCTGTGTTGGCCTAATACCTCCCAGAGCAGCCCTCAGCCAGTGACAGATGGGAAGTGGTAGATAAATGCCCCCACTCCCTCCTCCCTCTTATGGGACAAATCGAAGTATGTTCTACCGTGTCTCCTAGAGGTCCCCAGTCGAATGAGCCCCAGAAGTCAATGAACCCAGTACTGTCTTGTCAATGAGCCCGCTACTGTCTCCCTCCCTTCCCCACCCACTTCTCTCCCAGAGCTTCCTGAGCTCACCTCCCACACAAATATCTTATGCCATGCAGTGGGTGGAATTGTGGCCCCAAGAAGAGATGTGGAACCCCTAACTCCTGGTTCTGACCAACCCCTGTCAATGGACCTTATTTGGAAATAACATCTATGCAGCTCTTTTCCTTCTAAGAAAAGGAGAAAAGGCCGGGCACGGTGGCTCATGTCCGTAATCCTAGCACTGTGGGAGCCCGAGGCAGGCAGATCAGTTGAGGCCATGAGCACATGCTGCCATCCCCAGCTAATTTTTGAATCTTTTTTTTCTTTTTTGAGATGAAGTCTCGCTCTGTTGCCCAGGCTGGAGTGTAGTGGCGCGATCTCGGCTCACTGCAAGCTCCGCCTCCCAGGTTCACGCTATTCTCCTGCCTCAGCCTCCCGAGTAGCTGGGACTACAGGCGCCCACCGCCACGCCTGACTAATTTTTTTTGTATTTTTAGTAGAGACGCGGTTTCACCATGTTAGCCAGGATGGTCTCAAATCTCTTGACCTCGTGATCCGCCCACCTCGGCCTCACAAAGTGCTGGGATTACAGGTTTGAGCCACTGCGTCCAGCCTTAATTTTTGTATCTTCATAGAGACGGGGTTTTGCTATGTTGTCCAAGCTTGTTTCAAACTCCTGACCTCAAGTGATCTGCCCGTCTCAGCCTCCCAAAGTGCTGGGGTTACATTCATGAGCCACTGTGCCCGGCCCCTGGTGGCACTCCTGCCCCTGCTCTGTCTCCTGCCACAAACAGAGGCCGCACTATCCAGAGACCACTGCCTTGGCCACTGTGGACGGCCCTTGCAGGCCAGTGCCACCAAGCAGAAGCAGGTTTTTCAGTCCAGCAGGCATGAGAGGAGGCGAGGGTGGAAAAACAGAAGCAGAGAGGGACAAATGTAGTGGTCAGGCTCGGGTTGGCTGTGGTATGCAAGACCGAACTGCAGCGGTGTAAGCATACAGGGTTGACTTGCTCCTGAATGTGAAATGTGAGTAGTCAGTCCTGGGATGGCATGAAGATGTTGTGGTGTCTGCAGCCCAGACACCTTCCATCCACCGTATCCTCAGTAAGTGGCCTCCTCCTTGTGGGACAAGGCAGCTGCTTGAGCTCCAGCCATCACATCTACCTCCCAGGCGATGAGGAGGTAAGAGTGAAGAAGAGCTGACCCTGCCCCTTTAAGGACACTTCTTGGAAATCCCAGGCACCACTTCTGCTCACACTGCATTGGCCAGAATTAGTCACATGGCCATGTCTGGCAGAAAGCTTGCTGGGAAACGTAGTCTTTATTCTGAATGACCAATTCTTCAGCTGAAAACCAGGGCTTCTATTACTATGGAGGATGAGAGAACAGATGTTGGAAGTGTCCAGCACCACCTGTCACTCAGACACACTTGAGTAACCTGGCCTTCAATGACTGCCCAATACATATTTTTTGAATGAATGAATCCCCACACCTCCAGCTTAGGCCTCCTTCAGTGGTGAGTGAGCTCACTGTCCCTGGGGATGGAAATCAGCTTTTCCCGGGCCCTTCTGTGTACCAGACTCCAGGCCATGTGGCTTCACTCCACCATTCAACCACTCTGAGCCTCAGTTGCCCCTTCTATAAAAAGGAGGTAGCATCAGCACCTGCACCACGGGGTTCGCTGAGCATGAACAGTGATAAGCATAGTGCCTGCCACCTACAAAGTGCTCTATCTGCATTTGTTGATGGCTTAAGTGACCTGTCCACAGCCCAGTTATAATATTAGGTGATCACAGCTACTTGGGAGGCTGAAGCAGGAGCATCGCCTGAGCTACAGTAAGCTACAGGCTACTGTGAGCTCTGATCATGCCGTTACATTCCAGCAGTGGGCCACAGAGCAAGACCCCATCTCTAAAAGTAGATATTGAGTGATCAAACTGTGATGGGGAAAACTCAGGCACTGTGCCAACCCAAAGGGAGGCACCTGGCTTATTCTAGAGAATCTAGAAGGCTTCCTGGAGGTGGTGTCTTCTAGAATGAGATCAGAATGAGCAGTAGATAATGCTATGAACAGGAAATGTGATCCTGGCAGCTAGAACAGCACAGCAAACGCCCTGCCTGAGTAGCCTGGTTTGGCATCCAGTAGATGCTTAATAAGTGAACATAGAACTTCCTGCCATCACTCAGGGCCTGCCCCCTCTGCAAAAGGGTCTCAGCTTCATCCCGGCTTCCTCAGTACCCCAACAGCCAGGCCTGGGCCCTTCTCCAGCCGCCTCCACGAAAGCAGAGTGGTGCCAAGGACTGGCAGCTTAACGAGGCTGGCCCGTGCCAGCCCCGCCAGCCCCCACCTTGGCTGCTGTTCTTCCTGAGAAGCTGCCGAGGCCCCCTCCTGCCCAGCCAGGTGGTGCCCCGTCTGTGTTTGTCTAAGGGGGAGTGTGGCCAAATGGGGAAACTGAGCCCCAGAGGAGGGGGGCACTTGGGGATGGCAGGAGCCTTCAGAACTGCCACTGAGCAATGCAGCCTGCTGGGCGGATGACCACGCTTTGCAGGAAACTTCACTGACCCCCTGCAGCCAGGGCCAGGTTCCTGTGGACGCCCCACCTTCCAGAGGGGGGAAACTGAGTCTGTGACACGGGACCAGACTCACTAGGACTACAAAGCCGCAAAGTGACTGAGCTGGGATTCGAACCCTGGCCCCATGAATGCAGTCACTGAGTATTTAGGGTTCCCCACTCAGTGCCTGCATCTGCGCTGGGAAATACAGGGGACTCCAAGAGTTCTTGGGCCCCTGCCCAGCCCTCAAGGAGTCCCAGGCTTTGGGCGAGAGATGGACCTGAACAGCCAGGGCTGAGGGAGCCCAGAGAGTGGGGTGCAGGACAGGCTTCCTGGAGGAGAGGAGATTTCAAGTGAACCTGAAGGACAAGTAGGAACTTGGCAAGAAAAGTGGAAGTTGGGGGAAATAGCACACGGGAGGATTCCCGGTTCACAGTCCGTGCGAAGGGACAGGAGGTGCAGTTGATTCTGAGCATTTTGGAAAACTGCAAAATAAGTCCTTAGGGCTAAGATGAGGGAGGGCTGGGATGTTTGAGGACTTAATTACCAAGCGAACTTAATTACAAAGCAAAGGCATTTGCTCGTGTTGCCACTGATTTGTCTATTCTGCCATTCAGCAAGCATTCCCTGAGGCGGCACCCCGGCTGGGCAAGGCTAGGTAGGTTCCAGGGCATCTGCAAATGAGGATTAGGGCTTTTCACAGGAGGACTCAGGGAGCTAAGGGCTGGTGCCTGCTGGATTAAACCTCCCCACACTCCTGCAAGAGAGGCATGTTAATCCCACCTTCCAGATGAGGAACAGAGAGGTGATACGATTTACCTGAAGCCACACAGCACACCAGGGGCCAAGCCTGTGTTCAAACCCGGGTTCACAGAGCCCCGTGTGCTTTGCTCTTTCACTCGACTGCCTTTTTTTTTTTTTTTTTTTTTTTAGAATGAGACAAGGTCTTGCTCTGTTACCCAGGCTGGAGTGCAGTGCAGTGGTGCAATCTCGGCTCACCACAAGCGATTCTCCTACCTCAGCCTCCTAAGTAGCTGGGATTACAGGCATGTACCACCATGCCTGGCTAATTTTTGTAGTGGGTTTTGTCATGTTGC